ATCCTGATCAGAAGGGGAGGGAATTCAACAAACAATGCAAAGTTCTTAAGGAATCCCGAGATTCTGGAGCCATGGAGGCTGGATAAGCCCCTGACACCATTGCCCTGTGATCATCTTTCAACCTGACACCAACAATAACCTCTGAGGCCTTCCCTTAAACCAAACAGTTGAGCTTAGCTGGGAAAGAATGCCTGCCTGGAGCACTGGGCTCTATGAAGAGCTAGCCAGACGGGAGCACCTGGAAAGCTCAGACTGGAAACTTAGGGGGCAGTGAGTTTATGTTCATGGGGGAGGATGGGAACCGCTGTACAACTCAGAGAAGACCACCAGAGTCAGGGGATTGGACATGTAGAAATTGCTGGATCGGTGTATGTTGTGCTGTGTGTCTTCTCAACCAAAGCACCAAAACTTAAGTAAATGAAAATATAATAATTGGGCAGACTCCATTTGTCTTCTGACATCTGACAATGGCCACAAGTAAGTGCTTAAAGAAGAAAGGATGGAAGACTTAATGATGAACTGCAGGCCCCTGTTGCCTGGTCACCGGCACCTTATGCTGCCTGCCATGACACCCAAGCAGACCTTTCTCTTTCATCCCAGACAGCATGTGGCTCTGATTGCCAACAGATGGAAACTTGCGAGCAATGACTTCTGTCCACTTCAGCATTTCTCAGGCAGATTTCCATGAATCAAACTGTGCTTCGGACTCGGCTTCTTGGAATGGAGATTCAAAATTAAGCCCACGATGGTCCAGTGAAGGAGACGTCTAGCTAAGGTCAATGGTCATCCCCAACAATTCCAGGCAGCCATTTGTCCCTGGTCTTACTGCCTCGTGGCATCTTCCTGTGGACATTGAGGAGCCTGCAGACCATCCCCCAGGGCCCTGCAGGACGTGGAAATCCTCCTGGCAATTGACAGTTGCAGGAAGGTGCCAGGCCCTCCCTGTTTGATCTTATTACAGAAAATCAGATCGTGGGAAGGCACCTGACCAGTGCTTGCCCACGTGCTGTTCGAAGCCCACAGAGAGGAGAAAGAGTGATTGCGCTCCTTCCACCCAGCGGGGGAAGAGAAAGAAGACCGGGCGAATCCCATGAACACCTGCTTGCTAAAGAGAACCCACTAGGTATCTGCTGGAGAACGTGCCTGCTTCTGACCTGGAAGGCGGATGAGAAAAAGCAAAATCATGTTTGCAGTTCAGGACAGAGTCATTCTACAAATAGCATTTCAGGGGGGATCTGCCCGCCGCCGCGGGGTCTTGCACCCAGCTGAGTTTACCTCGGCCTGCAGGATTTTTTTTTTTTTTCCGTTTCACTGAGTGGTCACCTGAGGTGTGTTTTCAATTTCCATTTTAAAAGGAGATTAATTCACTTGGCTCCAGATGAGCGATTTCCCACCCACGTCCCCTTCAGTGTCTCCTCCTGGAGCCCCTTTGCAGGGAGCTATACATCCAATCATAAATGCTTATTTCCCTTTCTTTTTCAAAAAAGAAAAATGCCATACAAAATGCACCCTGTCACAGAGCATCAGCCAGAATGCTCCGTAGAAGTGAGCATAATGAGACCATTTCACATGCATCGGAGAGAAACCCCAGGGTTGCTATGAGCCGGAGACAGCGCCCTAGCAGGCAGTGCGTGTGCGAGTTTTGCATCACTCAGTTAAGGAGCCCTGTTGAGTAAGAAAACTCAGACTGTCTGTTCCTAGACAAGATCACTGTGAGTCAGGTCTGCATGATGGTAGGAGGTTTATAACGCAGTACAGGAACCAGGCAGCAGTGGTTAAGGGCTCAGCTGCTAACCAAGAGGCCAGTGGTTCGAACCCACCAGCCACTCTGTGGGGGAAAGACGGGGCAACTTGCTTCCATCAAAAGGTATCGCCTCAGAGGGTCACAAGAGGATGCGAGGGAAGCTACTCATTCTTCACCGTCCATTCCACAAATGCTTCTGAAGCATCTCCTTTTGTGTAAAATGTGCATTGAGTGATCTCTCTGCCTCCGAGTTCATTTGGACTTCTAGCGACTCTATAGACCATATTAGACCCTCTCCTGGGGGTGTCAGAGACTGAATCTTAACAAGAGCAGACGCCTCATCTTCCTCCCTCAGAGCAGCTGGTGGGTCTGAACCACCAACCTTACAGTTAACAGCCAAGCGATAAACCCACCCTGCCACCAGGCTCCTTAAAGAACGATCAATGTGGGATCAAATGGACAATAGTGACTCAAAGGATTAGGAATCTTAGGGAACACAAAGTTTATGTTCATGAGATGGGGTGACTCCCAGAAGGAGTAGGGGGGCTGAGGTGGGTGGGCAGGTCGCACAACTCGAAAAATGTCATCCGTTTCCCTGGAATGTGCGTATAGGAACTGTTGAAACTGGTGCATGGCCTGCTGTGTGTCGTCTCAGCAACAACAAGAAATCCTTTTTAAAATGATTTCTGACACTTTGCATAGACTATTGCATGAATATCAGAGTACTTGATGAATTTCTCACCCCAGGATGACATCCAGTTGTCATTTTAGGAGGATCCACTTGGCCAAACTTGTGTACACTATTTGTGCTGTGTCCGCAATGAAAACTCGACCCCATACATATGAAATCTGGGGGCTCAGAAGGAACCCATTTATTATTGTTCATTGAAATCTACATCATTCTCAGCCCCCGGGCCCCTACCCCCCAGCCACATCCTCACTCGGGGAGCCTGGGTGACATTGGGGTTCGAGTTGGGCTCTCTGTACCTCAAAGCCACCGGTTGCTCTACAAGAGGAAGATGAGATTTTTCCACTCCTGTAAAGAGTTTCCGTCTCAGAAACCCACAGGGCCAGCTCTACCCGGCCCTGCAGAGTGGCTGAGTCAGAATCGACTCGATGGCAGTGAGTTTGGTCTCCTTGTAATTATCATCACCGGATAGTGTGGGTTTGGTTTGGGGTCTCTTCCCCCAAGAAGCCCTGAGGTTGCAATGGTTAAGTGCTCAGCTGCCAACAGAAAGGTCAGTGGTTTGGACCTACCAGCTGTGGGGAATGTCAAGGCAGTCTGCTTCCGTTTACACCTTGGGACCCCTGCCAGACTCTTCTACTCTCTCCTGGGCTGCTGCGAATTGGAATCAATCCACGGTGATTGAGTTTTTGTGGTCTTATCTTCACTGAGCCAGGCAGCACCAGCACCATACCCCACCATCGTGCATGGGGTGTTGGCAGTCACATACATTGATGTTGGTGTCGTGTCCTGGCGAGTTGACTTGGCCTCATGCTGACCCAATGGGTCAAAGAAGACCTGCCCCACAGGGTTTCCCAGGCTACTATCTTTATGGGCTGTTGCTCTGAGGAGGCAGCAACTCCCACGCACAACTCCAACCCTGTCCATGGAAACAGATTACCAGGTCTTTCTTCCTGCAGAGCCTCTGGTGGTGTTGCGCTGCCGACCTCTCAAATAGCATCCGTGAGCTCCATAGCTTCACCATGGAGCCTACAGGGCTCCTTTGTCAACAGCATAGGCCTTCCCAGTCTTCTAACTCAACAATGGCGTATGCAAGACCCAGAACTTTTGTAAGCCAGCTGTAGACAAACTCAGCCCGCGTGTGCGACTCAATGCACACACTTCTCTCCCATCAGCCTTCTTGGGATTTCTCAGACATACCACAAGGTAATCCCAATATCAGAGCTGTCTGGCTTCCCCACCATGTGCTTGTGGGGAATACTCATGCATGCTTCAGCCAGTAAATGTCTCCTCTTCTGAAAGTCATCTCTCACCACCCACCTAAAGCCCTGCTCCCTTATTAAATAGTTTTATTTGCATGTATTTTGCATATACTTCACAGATTCACAATTTAATCATTCAACCCAATTAAGAAGATTTATACAGTCATCACCACCATCAATTTTAGAATATTTTCTTCTTGTGCTCATTGTTAGCTCCCCATTTCCTCCATCCTCCCCTGCCATGCCTCTAAACAATTATCAATCCAGTTACTGTCTCTATAGATCTACCTTTCCTGGCCTTCGTATATAGAAAATCATACAAAATACAAACACAAAGCAACCCAATCAACCAACCATAATGACTAAAGCCTCAATCAAAAAGAAAATATTAAAAACTGAAATAAACATGAGATCAAATGATAAGCTATAGTACACTTGAACCTAACGACATCTGCCATAATGGACTTTACAATGCTCTCTGTTTTGACAGCAAAGCTTTCACATCCCTTGCCTATGGTCAGATGGTGAAACATCGTTGTTGACTTGTTTCGTATCTCCCTGGCTTCCCATTGTAAGACCTTGGAGATTCTCTACTGGACTTTGGACTTGAACCGAAGCGCTAGGGAGAGCCAACGAAGGGTGCAAAGAGCTGCCAGGTTGGGATCAGCTACATGAAGGATGGATGGAAGGGCAACAAGGGTTCAAGCCGATCAGGCAGGAGTTTGCTGTGGTCTTGAGGGATGACCGTGGCCTAGTCTGGTGTCACGTGAGTGGAGGACAGACACAGAAGATGCTTAGAAGAAATAGTCCAAGGACCATGTTCTTTGTGCCAATAAACTCCCGGATTCCGGAAGTATAAGTATGCTCTTCAAGCACCGGCACTTTTTTTTAACTTGCTATGTAACTCTCCTCTTTGGGGACTGTGAGGAAACAAATAGAGGTGTCTCTGGGGCTAATGTACAAATCATTAGACAAGAAGATCCCAAGGTTGGAAAATATTGGTGTCTTCCACAACCCCGTTGCCAGGAGAAGGTGGTTTTCGTGCAGAATGCAATACACACTGCTGCATTTGTGACCTCTGACTCCAAACAGTGTCCCTCCAACCAACTGCAAATGTGGAATATGTTAGGAAGGGGGGCGGGGGAGCAAGAGTGAGCCTCATAAGCTAATGATTGTTCTGCACGCCCGTGGGCAGAAGAAGTATGGTTGGAATTAGGTGGGGAAGGAGGAAGGGGTGTGAAGCCATGCTATTACTTTGAGAGTTCACATGGAACAAGTTGCAACTGTGAAAACTCGATTTTACTCCTAGGACGTAGCTGACAGCAAGGAAAGAGAAGGACCGGAAATCGCAAGTTTGGATTCTTCTGTCCTGGAGGGGATCCCAGAAGCACCAGAGACCACAGCGGAGAACCCCCAGGCCACAGAGCCAACCGAGAGTAATCATCCCATCATGAGTTTCTTTAAAACTCTGGTAAGTCCTTTCCTCTTTTCTCTCGAGGACCCCTGTTGCTCAAAAGGTTTATTGATACTGAGAAGGAAGAATATGTGAATGTTGCTGTGTTACTCGGCTAAGCATCAGGGGCAGCTGGGACAGTGGAGACCAGGAACAATATACTTTGTAAGAAAAATGCTTTTACATCCAGCTCTCGATGAAGGAGCCTAGTCCCAAGAATGGGGAACCATGATTTGAGCAGCGGTCATCCAAATGTTGTCACACAAGTTGTCTCCTAATGAAATGCTACTGCGGTGTGGTCGTTGATCATAAAAAGAATTGGAAACGTCCTCCCTGGTCAGCACAGCCGTTCTGCTGCTCCAGTGACAAACAGAATACGTTTGTCACTGGAAACCCTGTGCTGTCTTGCTACAGCCAAGACTGCCATTGTAATACGGTGGGACCAGATAAGCCTGGTCTTCCTTGGCTTGCACATCACTGGTTCCTGGCACCCATGGTCCAGTACAAGCCAGACACTCAACAGGGATGCAGTGGATGAAGGCATCATGACACAGACAACTCCCAAAGTGTTTGGCTATCTCCAGATATCAAGACTAACGTCGAAAGGTAAAGCAAGCAATCCCAAAATGTCAGTAGAAGGTGCGGCACTTGTGCACGTGTGTGGAGTCAGACCTGGAACGTTGGGACCTCTGAGCCCCTCCAGGAGGGTGATCTTGGATGCAGTCAAACTCTTGGTGGCGATACCAGCTTTGATCCATTTCCATATAAAACATGGATTTTGTTCATTTAACATGTTACACCTTGATAGTATCCCAAAGTCCTTGGGATTCTACCAACTCTGAAAGGACTTCCCATCTCATTCTTCTATCTGTCGAGTGAGCTCACGTCGAGCGGAGAATCACCCTCAAGAAAGGTGGCTTCTAACTCTGGCTTTCTCATTTTTAAGGTTTCTCCTAACAAAGCTGAAGCAAACAAGGAGCCTGAAGACACGGTAGGTGAAGTGTGTGTCTATGTTTGGTGTCTGGGCTTCAAATTGGATCCCAGGTTTTCTTTTGCTTAATCTGCGTGTTTGTTTCTTGAATTTTACATATGTATCTACTCACTTGGGAGAAAGATGAGACTTTCTACCCCCGAAAGGAGTTACAGTCTGGAAACCCACAAGGGCAGTTCTACCCTGTCCTACAGCGTCGCTGTGGTCACAACCCACTCCACTGGCAGTGAGTTGGCACTTGGTGATGGACTTATTCAGAGATTTTAATATTGCTGTTTGATGGTCTTTGAAATGTTTCGTGTGCACTCAGGGCATTTTACTGAAAATGTCAGTGGGCAGCTTAAAAAATAGGTGTGATTTAACCTAAATAATGTCCCATTAACCACTTTCTTACCTAGACTTGGCAGAACGTGGTAATAAGTATTCCATCACCTTATTCTTCTCCATTGTGTTGAGAGAGCCCCGGGGTGGGGTCAAGGGTTAAAATGAGCACTGGGAGAAGTAGAAGGCAGTTTGGGGTGCTTCGAGCCTTATTTGAAAAATGACCCTTCACTGCAAAGGCAGGTGCTTAGTGAGGAAGGGTCCTCTTCACTGGACATTCGCCAAGGGAAGGGCGATGTGGAATGAATCATTAGGATGCCCGAGAGAGGGAAGATGTTTCTCTCTCCTTCAATAAATGCAGCCAGTTCCTCTCCAAGTACATTTGATTCGAAGCTTTTCACTTGGTACATGAATAGCCCACTGCCCCGCTCGGGAGCACGTGGTTTGAATGTCATGGGCACCAGGGGGAAGCGGGACTTGGGGACAGCTGGGGTTCTGCTTCCTCCTTTTCTTAATTGAATGGGATTTGGGAGACACTTGGGCACTAAGGACATGGCATGGTCAGTCTGATCCAAGTGGGGCCCCTATTTGCAGTATCTAAGTTGTTCAGGAGGCCTCGTGGCGTCGTAGTTACCGTTGGGCTTCGATCCCCAAGGTCAACAGTCTGATACCACCAGCCACTCTGCTGAAGAAAAAGGGGGCTCTCTACTCCCATAAAGAGTGACCGTCTCGGAAATCCCCAGGGGGCAGTTTTACCCTGCCCTACATGGTCACTAGCAGTCGGAATTGACTCGATGGCATGAGTTTGAGTTTGAGAGGTTGTTGTGCAAAGGATCTAGGCTTTGTCCCTTAGGACCTGCGTGTCCAGTTCTGTTGCTGGACGACTGTGTGACCCAATAGCTTCCACATCTGTAAAGTGGGGACAATGAAAAAAATCGAGCTACCTGACTCAGGGCTGAATGAAGGTGTAACAATGCCTTGTAAGTCACAGAGGACTTACATTCAGTGATCCTTGCTGCTTTGATCATGTGTGAGACGGGTTGAATACTGCTTATTAATTACAGTCAAGCCTGCCAAGGCTGGAGAGGCAGAAACCTGCCAAAGAAGGAAAACTCAGGTCTTTTCCCCCAAAATGTGATAGGAAGGGGTCAGCCCTGCACCCTGCGAGAGGTGGAAGGCTTTCAGGACCTAGGTCTGTAGTTCATTGATTGCTTCCGCAAGATGTTTTCCTTCTTCCACCTAAATCTCTATGCACCTGTATCCTCGTCCTGTGCATGAGTTTGCCTGGGAAATGATTCCTTTGCTACAGCCAGTGAGGACCAGCTCAATGAGTGGTTGAGTCAAAACGTTTCTTTTGGCTGTGGCCTCTGCATCATTCTGAGCCACGCAGTCAGTAGGAATGGGCCTCAAACAGCAGGCCATGTGGGTAGGTCGGGTGGCTTCCCAAGAGAGCGGAGGCACTGGCCCCGTTTTGTTCATCCTGCACCAGGGCCTGGAGGGCCGTGCCAGCTGAACTTAACCTCAGCACCACTGGTGGCGCAGGGTCTTGGAGAGGGCGTGGGCCATTAGCACTCTCTGTGACAAACCCAGTGCTTCTGAAAGGCCTGCAGGGTTTGCCCGTCCTTCCGTCAGTTTCTGGTGGATTCAGGCACACTAGGAGCGCCACCCCACCCGCCAACTTGTAACTTGACTCCGCCCTTTGGGGGTGGTGCTAGGTGGGCTGTTTCAAGTCCGTCCTCCCCCAATTGGCACTGAGTGGCCTGGTTCATTCTAGAAGCTCCGTTGCCTGGGAGAGGCACTCCCCGAGTACAGGGAAGTTTCTTATGTTTATGAAAGGCAGATCCCTCTGGGAGGGAGAATCGTTCTGCGACAGCTTCGACTCCCGAAAACAAACCCTTTAATACGTCTTTCTTTCCCTTTCAGGGAAAATAGCGTTTAGATATTCAGAATTCCCAGGGAGAGGCTGGATTTTGTTTGGTTTGTTTTTGTGTCTCCCTCCACCCACCCACCTCCATGTCCCCAGGACAGTTATGGCATGTGGGCCGAACTTGGGTGTCCTGTTCCACCTTCTTTAGCCAATGGATTTGGTGGAGGGGGGGAGGGGTTGGGGTGGGTGAGAACAGTTGGTGGCCAGAGTGGTAAAACGTACCTCCCACCAACAGACAGGAAAATAAAAAGGATATTGTGTAAAGAACGAATTTCTAAGCTGTGCCTGCTGTTGCCCAGAAGGCAGCCGGAGTAGAGCGGGTGTGTGACGGACATGCCGGGCAGACGACGTCAGAGGGCCAGGCCAAAGGTGCCAAGAAAAAGCACCTGGATAGCCCCAGGGTGGGGCTCGCCTTTAGGAAGTTCTTTAGACACAAGGTCTGTATCACTTAAGCAAACAAACAAACAGGAGGAACCCTGGTCTTCCCCGCCCGGTGCACGTGGCCGGCACCATTGGAGTGGGATTCAAAGGGATTCAGCAGCGTATTGTCCCTGGGTGTGAGTGAACGGTTAGCCTCAGCTGCTAACCAAGAGGCTGCAGGTTTGAGCCCATCCCAGGCACCTTGGGAGAAAGGCCTGGAGATCTGTTTCCAGAAAGTCAGCCCCCAAAAACCCCATGGAGCCCAGTTCTACTCTCTCGGCCGACGTCTCCCCAGGGTGGACCAGGGTTCTGAAGTTGTTCTCCTAACTCACTGTTTCCCAAAGGCCAGTGGTTGGCATACCGTCCTCACCAATCTGGCCACATGTCCCATGATTTCCTTGCTAGATGTCTTTCAGTGCACCCATTTCCTAATCAGATGTATCTTAAAGGGAAACTTCCTATTGCCCATACATGGAAATCCAGAATCATTTTTCATAAATGAAAGTTAATGATGAATAAGGCTCATTGAAAAGAGGTTGGGGGTGTAAAAAAAAGATATTACACCAAAGAAACAAGAGCTGGTTTGAGTCTGTCGCCTCTGTGGACATGTGGGATTTTATTAGGGGTGAAATTTCAAAAGCATTATCAATTGTGAGGTGTGAGGTCGACACTTGCCAAGCACAAATTTTACTTCCTAAATGGGATATTTGCTGGATTTCAAGAACGTCTTCCAAGTTAGCATTTTCTTTCAGGTTTTACTGATTTGCTTTTTGTTTGGGGGGGGTCTTTATTTTTAGCGACTAAAAAGAAATCGACTGTTTTTGCAACCTCGCTGCCTCAGGGTCTGACTCTAAGACCCACTGCCTCTTTCTTAAAAGTCAGTGAGCCAGAGGTTACGCAGCCTGAGACTTTGCCCCAAAAGTTTAGCTGAGAATTGGACAAGAACCAGCATTTTCACTATTTATACGCTATTGAATGTCATAGTCCATCCCACCTAAAAACATCGCTGATGCAACCAACGGTATGCTCTCCCCACATTGGGAAACAGCCCTCCTCCCCACCCCCATAACCCTCTGATCATTCTATAGTCTGTTGCATCCATTCTTAGTTCTAACTGCGCTTGTACTGGACCCCTAATAGCTGCCCAGCCCAAACAAAAAAGCAATGAACGGAGGCAGAGTCGATGTGGGTATTTCAGTGCTCCTGGGAAGTGAGAACAACATAGACGTCCCTTTGGGATGGGCCACAGCTCCAGTTTGTCTGGAAGGCTGAGAGGGCCCCTGAGTTGAGCCAGTGCACTTGGAAATGGACGGCAAAGACCACCCACTCTCTACGAAGTTGAAGCTGCCGGCTGGATGCTGCAGTGACAGGATCGTGTGGGCAGAAGTGGAGCTGAGCAGAAAGTTTCCCACGCTGATTCCACATTTGCATAAAGACACTGGGTTCTGCTGCCACCCTCAGCGTCCCAGCGGACTGCTGTCCTGTGATGGGGAAGAGAAGGTCAGTAGTCCTTAGCGCCTTGGGGGCAGGAAAGAAGAGGGTTACGACGGACTGTGGGGGACAGCATGGTAGCTGCTAGTAAAACAGGGCCAGGAGTTCTGGTGGTGTAGTGGTTACAAGTTGGGCTGTTGACCGCAAGGTCTGAAGTTTGAAACCACCAGCCGCCTCATGGGGGAACACCGGGTGTGTACTCCCATAAAGTTACGGTCACGGGGGCAGTTGTATCCTGCCCCATGGGGTCACTGTGAGCCGGCATCGACCGGATGACAGTGAGGCTTTGAGAGGGAAAGGTGGCATAGATTTCGTACACAGGAACTCCCTGCCCAGCTGAGCTCCCACCTGGAGCCTTTGGGAGCAGGGGACCTTGGAAGGTTGAGAAACGTGTGATGCTCGCTACCTCCCCGGATCTGCATTTCATGAAGACGGTCATCATGCAGTGCCAAGTTTCACTTCGGTAGAATCTTCCCCTCTCCCCCTCACCCATGAGTGGCTCACACCCGTTCAATGTGGTCATTCCTCCGGCTTCCCAATTCACTCGCTCCATGTCCTTCCACAAAAGTGCATTGGGGGAAGATCGGATTCTGGGAACACTGGGAACATGGTGTTCCAGGTGAAAGGCAATTAAAGTAAGGGGCGGATTCCCACCATTCAGAATCCTCTATTTTGCAGCTGACCAGTAGGGCTGGTGGCTCTTACCTCTGAGGATGGCAAGATAGTTAAGTGTCTAGCTGCTTCTTGAAGGGGGCGGCAACCCTGGGGAGAAAAGACCCAGTGGTCGGATCCGATACAAAGTACATCCCTGGAGACCCTCTGGAGCAGTTCTCCGCTCTCACAAGGGGTCCCTCTCCCCACTCCCCACTCAGGCTTTCCTGACGTCCACCCTCTCTGCAGCTCAAAAGAGTGGCCGCTGGCTCCTGGGATCCTGAAGCTAGGCCGCACATTCATTGCTTTTCGGTCTGGATGTCATGTCTCCATCCCGTAACCCATCCCTCCGCCCCTGTGCAAAGCCATGTTTGCAAACCTCTGCTGGACGAAGGTGTGGCCAGCAGATGCACAGCGTCCAAGTCTGATGCGTGAGGATTCCGAGGCTGGGGCTGCCAGATAAACTATGCAACACCCAATTAAATGCAGACTGCAGAAAAAGGAGTGATGCTTTCATAGCAACACAAGGACATCCCAGGCAATTTGGGACACACTTTAAAAAAGTGTTCATCTTTTATCTGAAATTCACATATAAACAGGCCGCGTCTTTGTGGTCAGTGTATTAAATCCAGCCCACCTGGTTGAGGAGATTGTCTCTGAGAAACCTGGGCGGAGTTTGGCAGTCTCTGGACTTCAGATAAAGGGCGTTGTGTCTGGGGTGTGAGTCTGCTTTGGGAAATGAGAAGAGGGGTGGGTGGGAAAGAAGCAAAGGCTAGTGGTCTTCTGATGGTGACACCCCCACCCCCCACCCCAGAGGGATGGCATGACAGAATCCTGGGTGGGTCTCTCTCTGGTTGTTTCCATATGATGATATGTGTAGTATTTATCTTGTGCCACAGTCTTGTACAAGCTAAGAATGTCTGTAAGGGGTCTTATGTGAGGCCGGGTTGTCCAGAGGAATAAAAGCAGGGACGCTCCTGCATGTATAAGATAGAACCTTAGCGCAAGAAGTCATTTTATAGCAAGAAGGTCTCCCAGCCCAGTTCAACTCACGGCCCTGGGTCCGATGCTGGCCAGAACCTCCTGGAGACTCTTGTGGCTGCGAGACGGTGGCGCAGAGAGATCGCAGTCTGGTGAGTGCAGGGTCTCAAGGAGCTATGGTCAGTGGGAACACGGCAGGGGGCCCACAGTTACTCGGTCACCTCCCAAGGTCCGTGGCCCACCAGAGGCCGCCTCTGGAGCCAAACACAGAGTCCCAGCTAGGAGGACGGTGAAGGGAAGAGAGAGGGGCTCCCACTGCCTCTCTTCTGAGAAGGCCACATCCCGAGGGAGGCCTCACCAGTCTGTGACCTGCTTGAGAGGTTGGACGCCACCCTGTACTTTCACACGGGTCCAGATTGACACCAGATCGAACCACCACAGCTCTCACCTTTATGGAGCTCCGAGTCTAGCCTGGGAGACACACATTCAACAAATAATTGCCCAGAGCCCCAGTGGGGCATTGTTAAGTGCTTGGCTGCTAACTGAAAGGTTGGCAGTTCCAATCCCACCAGCGACTCTGTGATCTGGTGATCTGCCCCATGAGGATGAGGGTTTCGAAAGCCCTTTGGGCCTTTTCTACTCTGTCACAGAGGGGGTAGGGGTGTGTCTGTGAGTCAGAGCGATTCAGTAACAACAATACAGCTCTTAAATTATTGTAAATACAGTAGAGACTCTGCCATACATCATTACAGAAGGGTAATATTGCAAGGGTCTCAGGGTGCCTGCCCAGTGTAACAAGAAGTGGCTGGTATTGAGTGCACCTGATCACCCCATCCTCATGATCACCTGTACCCCAAACACCTTTCAGGCGATTTTCTCCAGTTGTCCTCATTACCACCACCATGGACTTTCAGTCCCACAGATGATACTGCGACCTGTTGGGTGAGAAGCTTGTGCTGGGTCCCTGGTGGCCCAGTGGGCTACCTGCTGGGCTGCTGACTGCAAGGCCAACTGCTCGGCCCCACCAGCTGCTCCTGTAAAGATTTATAGTCTTGGAAACCCCCAACGGCGGTTCCATGCTGTCCCCTAGAGGCACTGTGAGTCGGAATCGACTTGACGACCGTAGCGAGTTTTGAATTTAAGCTACTATCTTTCATACCCCCACACCAAGAACCAAGTCTGCTCCGCCCCCACCCCAGCTCCCCATAGTGCCCTTGTTGGAAATGGCCCCATCATTGGCTAGTGCCGGCAGGAGGCCTTGCTGTGTTGGAGATGGTGGGGTTTGTTGGGGTTTGTTAAGTGTTCGATTTGGGGATCCAACCCGCCCCCCCACGACACACGTGTCACTTCTGCCCCTTAGTGTGGCTGTATGTGAGCTCTTTGAGCACAGGCACTTCGATTTCTTGTCTGTAAACTGGACCTAACCAGTTCCCTCCTCACGAGGCAACTATTAGAGCGTTCAAGGCCCTGGACCAGCCTTAGGACGATGGCAGAGTCACAGGAGGGGAATTCTGTCTCCAAGAAGTAACAATGGTCTGAGACAGAGAGAGGAAGAAGGGGTGGAAACCAAGCAAGACAGAAAGACGTGATACACAGGCCCTGTCTTGGAGAAAGTCCAGAAGCTCAGGGACTTGGAGAAAGTCCCTACCCTAGATGCTGAGGGTAGGGAGTGGGGGGATTTGTCCTGAACCCCCTGTGTCTGTCAGGGAGTGGGTTGAGGGCACTACTGAAGGGCAGCTGTGAGCTGGAGGGAAAGTCAACACCTGTCATATAAAAAACAAGTAGTAGAAAAATATTAAAATTACAAAAACAAGTAACAAGATTGCAGTCAACGACAAGTAGGGCCGCTGAACCACAGGTCCCCTGCTCTAAGGCTAGTGGCAGCACGGATGATGGGCCCAAGCCATCCACGTATGGAGACAGGTCAGCCCTATCCCGCCCCCCCCACCACCACCAGATACACCCCTGAACACACAGGCCCCTCCCAGGAAAGGGAAAGCAAAGGGGGAGGTGTATGTTGGGTAGCAGCCCGGCTGGACCCCGCCTCACCTTTTCTGTGTCCCTCCCAAAAAGCTGCAGAGCACGCTGTACCCTGGGCACAGAAGATGCCCCCAGCCCCAGCCCCGGTCCATTCCCCAGCGCCACCATCCTTGTCTGTCTTGGACAGCCTTTCTTCCCTGGTTTCATTCACTTGCAAGCACCACGCCCCCTCCCTCACCCAGCAATGCCCCTACCCCAGTGGACGCTGCCCTGCACGTGCGCAGTGATTTGTGCACCGGCCACCTCTCTAGCAGGGCGAACGCACCACTAGGCCCGTGAGAGCCCAGCACTCAGTACAGTCAGGTAGAGAGGGTCCCCTGCATTTCTGCAGGCAGGGAGGGCCGGATGCATGAGACAAAGGCCTTCCTGGTTGTGTTTTCTAAGAAAAACAAAGGGGAGGGGCTGTACCTGGGTGGGAGGGGCTTGCCCTTGAGCTAGTTTCGCTGCGTTTCTTTGCCGTTTAGAGAGAAAACAGGGCCAGGGGCCAAGACCATTTGGAACCTTCCGAATCAGGCCATTTGGACACGACCATTGAGAGAGCGCAAATATTATTTTTAAATTCCAGCCTTGTGCCGTTTCTTACTCTTAAGTGGACCTGTGGGTCTTCCTGAATTGTCGAGCATCACAAAAGTCACTTCTAGACTTGGGCTCCTGAACTCCTGATTTGAACTCAGGAATCTGCTTTCGACCAAAAGGAGCCCTGGGTGACTGTGGGGCTGCTAACTCCAAGGTCAGGAGTTCGAAACAAGAAGGCTCTCCACAGGAGAAAGGTGAGGCTGCCTGCTCCTGTCAACACTGACAGCCTCAGAAACCCCCAGGGGCAGTGAATTCTAGCCTGTCTTGTAGGGTCGCCGTGAGTCGGCACCGTGAGTCGGCACCGTGAGTCGGTGTCGACTCCGTCAGGGTCAGTACCAAAAACAAAGCCAGCACAGACTTCTTACATTTCTGTCTCATGAAGTGTCATGAGATTCCCAAGCACCCTGTGTGGGAAGCCAAGTGCTGTGGGGTGGGGGGAACTGGGAGGGGGGGTGCTAGGGAGAGGTCGCCGGGCCAGACTGAGGGTGTGCAGCGTAACTCGGGCCAGGTGGAGTGCCTGAAATCGTGGGCCATTGGAGCAGGCCCCCAAGACTCTTCTCGGCATCAGAAATATTGGGAAACTTCCTGAGTTTATCCAGACCCTATTTTTACTATCTCCGGGACTTTCCAGGTCCTGAGTCACAGATCCTGGAGCAAAAAGTCATGCAACAAAGATGGTGAAGACGGGGAAGCTAGCTCAGAGGCACCTGGTGTTCGTGCCTGTTAAACACCGGTGTTTTTAATCATGCGGAGACACATGAGGACTAGAATTCTCCCAACCCTGTGCTGATCTCAATACTCAGGAGGGATGAGCGGCCTGGTCACTGCAGAAGGTGGATGGCCCCTGAGCACCTGGGAGGGAGAGAGGAGGGAGTGGGGCTGGGTGAGCTGAATGAATAACACTAGACCTTGAAGTTCTGTCCTGTTCTATCGGGTCGCTGTGAGCCTGCACTCACTTGATGGTGGTGAGCTTGGTTTGTCTGCTCGATTGGTGGATTGGTTGGTAGGTTGGATGGTGGGTTGGATGGTTATTTAAGCCCCTCTCTAGTTCAAATGTAGGTAATCAGTACAAGCTTGTCCTATATCCATAAGCCAGTATGCGTGTAGTGGGGACCTCTGCTCAGGAAGCCTTTCCTGATGGGGACACTTGATGACAATCCCTTGGAGACTCATAGCCCAGAGAATGCCACCGTCTGACAGCTAAGTGCCTCCTACTGTCACCTGGAGTCCTTCCTAACTCACCACTGCGATGTGCATAACCACGCTTGACAGTCAGGGTTTTGTTCCCCAAAACTCTCGGCTTTTTAATATTTAAATGCTCAGAAGGTTAACCGAAGTCCATGCTCCTAGTAGAGGACTTGGAGAATGCGGAAGTTGGCCGGGAGGACATGAGCACCGCACCCCGCAGCCCGTGTGGTGGTTGTTAGAGTGCGCGCCCGCTGATCTTCCCCTTCCGGACACTTGAGACTCTTCTCAGCGCTTCCCCTCATTTGTGTTTCACTCTGCAGGGTGCTGAAAAGTCACCCCCCGCTTTGGCTGACCCCAAGTCAGACAAAGCCAACATTGTACCCCAGGAGACCCAAGGGGCAGCCAAGAACCCTAAAGGCTGCAGCCCCGTCATACCGGCACCGTCTGCAGCAGCCTCTGAGACAGCCAAGGACGGGCCCAAGGAGAGAGCAGGGCCCACCTCCCTGCCTCTGGGCAAGCTCTTCTGGAAAAAGGTAAGTGTGTCTTTCCCAGTTCTCTGAGACGGGCCGAAGTTCACGTGAGAGTTCAGTTGTCTCTGAACTTCCTGTTGCCCCCGCTTGCTATTGGGTGGAAGCCTTCTCATTTGCTCCCCAGAAGAACGAAATGCCTGTTGTGTTAACACTACAACAACGTGCGTTTGGTGGGAAAGAGCAGGGTGGACCAAGAGACTTCTGCATTCCTCTCGTGATTTTGGTTCATGGCTCAAGGTTTTGGTGTTTCATGACTTCGTGCTCTCTGAAACGGCATGTGACCAGGTGCTTCCTCTGGGTGTCCTCCGCGAGCTCGCCCCCCAAAGAAACCAAGTACCTCTGGGTGTTTCCCCTTCTCTTTCCCCATGGTGGGCCACGGGGTCAACCCAGGGAGCGGGTCCCCAGCTCACCACCAGGGCAGGGCAGCTCTGGGACATGCCAACCCCTGGCTGGCTTTGCTTCCCACAGGAGTGGATGGGGATGTTCTGAGAACATTAGCATCCCCACCGTTGCTGAGTAAACCACAGCGGCCACACGTGCCGTGACACTTCACCTGTTTTATATTTAGTCAAAAGGCGTGGGGGC